AGCTTATCCCCAGATAATACCAGCGGTTGATATCTCTTGAAGTTATGTAGAGGTGTGCATGCTGAAAGTGAAAATAAAAAAGAAATGAACAATGCTATGAAAAGAAAAATACCAAACAGCATTTTTAGGCAGTTCACAGTTTTTTAGTTTTTTTTTTTAGTTTCACTTGAACAAAAATAACTTTCAAATTATGCATCAGTGGCAGAAGTAGCACAAAAAGAAACTTATTGACTTGAGCTCTCAGTGGTAAAGAAAAAAAACATTACATTCCAGAACAACTGACTTTTCCCTTTCTTGTTGAATAGATTTTTGCAACTTGGCTCCAGAGAAAAGAATCTCTCTGCTCTAACAACTGCAATTACTGTCAGCTTTTAGATCTTAGTGCATCGAGCCCTGCCAATAATGTATTGTATATATGCCATGGATTCTTCTAAAAAAATTACCAAATTATTTATTTACTTTGAATGTATGCACTTACAGAGGACTGTTCCGTTGCTTTGTTAATAGGCTTTAATTTGTTGATGATGTGTAGAGCTTAAGGATAACAGTTCACAAAAAATCCACAATTTGGAGTATCTCAGAGTTGGGGCCAGTTCAGTAAGGTGGGGAAAACAAAAAATGTTTTCATTCATTTTTTTTCTTCATGCATTTTGAAAGATGTAAACATTCAACAGTGGCAGTTATGTGGTGTCCTGGTAGCTCATCTGGTAGAGCCCCATGTCCCATGTCCCATGTCCCATTGACAGTACTAAGAGACAAAAATCCTTGTTGCAGTGGCCGGGGGTTCGAGTCCCTTTGCTACGTGTCATCCTCTTTTCTCCCCCTTTCCTGTCTATCTTGAGCTGTCCTGTAAAGCCAAAAAGCCACAAATAATATAAAAAAACAGTGACTCACTGTCCATAATTATTTTTTATAAAGATTAAACATTGGCATATTATCAATAAGAAAAAATAAATAACACAGATAAATAAGATGAACGTCACTAATAACACAAGTGCCGGGACTTGCCTTTCAGTCTGTTTCTGTCTCATTCAACACATTCTGGTGATGTCTTCATAAATAACATGTTAGAAGTGTTTCCGCAGATGGACCCGACATCAGTTGCACAATGTCTGCATACACATTGTCTGACACTAAAATTTTTACAATTATCAGTAGATCTAAATGTCATAGGAGGGTTTCAGCTTTTCATGTCATATTGATGTGATGCCTTTACAATAGAAACATTAACAAAATGCATCATAATTGGTGCTATTAATTATCTTATGTATATGATGCCATGTAACACTTTAAAACTAATTACTGTCACTCGGTGGAATTCTCTCCATGAAAACACCAAGGCTAAAACATAAAATTATTGTCTCTACACAGTTTAATTTAAAAAACAGCTCTGTGTCCTTCAGCTCAACTTTCCATATAAAACCACTGCTAGCAAAAGCACTTCATAAAAACACTCAGCAGGAGGAAGTCCACCCCATTGCCCTCGGCACAGCCCTCCAATATAACCTCGACTTCATCTCACGGCAGAAACTGCTGTTTGATATTCCCCACCATAAATGAAACATATTCTGTGTTTTGCCAGACCGGCTCGTCTCTACCCTCTGGTTTGATTCAAGAGTGCCTCTGCTCCATCTTTATGCAAAGCACACTGATGAAGAAGCCACTTATCATTAGGTGACTGCCGTTGTTATACATCAAGGTTTCATGTTATCAGCTAATATATGCATTATTAATCCCAACGAGGTACCGCGTTATGTCTTGATGCATACCTATTAGCAGGGAGGGATATTAATTCCTGCCCACGCCTACTCCTCATCAGGGGAAAGAGAAGCTCACATGACAATGTTGTCAGCTAGGGAATATTGTAGTAGAATGATCCTGGTTTATCCTGTATAAAAACAAGGTTGTGCACAGATTCTCAGTCACAGTCATCCATGCTGTGTATTGGGTATTGTTTACATAAAAAAAACAAGATTTGTATCATGCTAAAACACGTCATAACCTTTTAAATGAAAGCTGGATTTATACTTTGGCATAAATATATATAAAAATATTTTGTAGTTCTTTATCAGATTTCACTCTGATTTGTTGTAGTACCATGATGTCACTTGATGAATGTGTTATCAGGCTGTCATGTTCTAATTTTATACCCAAAAGAAATTGGGTTCCCATTCTTTTATTGACTTTGTAATATAAAGCAACCAATGATTGTACTATTATTATCTATTTTACTGTTTAGTTTATTAAAAATAAAAAAGAATGCACAATGCAGATAACAATTTGTAATTGCAGCAGTAATGTTTTTAGATTAGAAATTCATTGTCTGCCTTTAACCCAGTGTTAGGGTTGGGTTGGGTAGCCACCAGCTCCAGTTTTAAGCCAGTGCCTTGGTGAAGGGCACTAACAGGAGAATCAATCTAACATACATGTTTGTGATGGCGGGGTAAATGGGGGGAACTTGGAGGAACCCCATGCAAACACATGGAGGACATGCAAACTGCACAGCTAGGTTTCGAACACAGGACCTGTAAGGCGACGCTGCTAACCACTGATCCACTGTGCTGCCTATTTAGAATGATACAATGCAGAGAACAACTACCTGTCTCATGTTCATGACTTTGCTTGATAAATGACTGAAATGATCTTTGAAGCAAGCAATTATTTTTCAAAGAGAGCATAAATCGGAAAAGCTTTAGAACAGCAAATGTGTAAAAGCTGACATGAACTGAACAGGTTGAATTTTCTTTCATTTTACACTACTTCATGCCTAGAAATCATGTTACACTAAAAAAAGGGAACTTGCTCTACATTAAAGCTGTCGATACATCAGCTAGCTTTGCTGTCTCATGTGACACCTTGCAAGCAATTCCAAAAGTCTATATATAGTAAATATTCTTTCAAGTATTAAACACGCTCACTGTTGTAGCCTAAACAGGGGTGGCCTCCCTGTAGTAGTCAATAATCCCTCTCAAGAGTCCCATGTGCTACAGCAGTGGCAAGCAGCCGACATGCAGCATTAGAGATGGAGCGAAGAAGAGAGAAGGAGAGGAAAAGAAGGAGGGAGGGTTGGGGTGGAGATTGTCGAGCTGTTGCTCTGTGTTATGTGTCATGTAGAAGCAGACTGGAGAGGAGAAGAGGAGATATCCAACAGCAGGGAAAAGCTGAAACCCGCAGGGGGGGGTTGTGTCAGCCACATGCTCCGGCTGGTCCTTACTGAGCCAAGCCTTTTGTTATGCTGATTTACTCTGTCTTTTGTCCAAGACACTGATGGAGTGTGTGTATGTGAGGGAAGAGGGTGAGAAAGACTGACAGAGTTTAGAACATATTGCAGCCTATATGTAGAGTAGACGTATCAATAATCACATATTTAGAGGATATAGAAAATAATAGCAGCACCTAGTAATATCTTATTGTCCTACACCACAGTTTAAAAATACTAATTGGAAATGTTCAATTGATGATGAGACTGGGAGAGAAAGTTGTTGATCCAACTCTTTGGTAATCTTTTGGGGTAATGTTTTGTTATGTTGGATTATACATTTTTTTGTAAGACGGTTCCATCATTTTCTCCCAGTTATCATTCAGTATTCGATAACTTTGCAGCCACCGGTGCAAGAGATGTGTTGAAGAGGTGTTGTCATCACATATAGCTGTATGATGACATTTATTGGTCCTAGCAGAAAATTTGACTTGTTCACCATCAACATCAGTCACAGTGGCTGTGACAGTGGGTTCAATATAACAGACATAAAAAAGGCAATACATCGCTAGGCGGTAATGAACAGCAACACATTACAGAAAGGTTCGCTGGAAGATGTAATGTTTGGAAAAAGCAGGAGGGAGCTGATAGGTTTGCTTTCTGTCACTTACAAAAGAGATTAGGAGTCTAAAAGCATGGCAACACTAAGCTCTGTATACTCACAGCGTATATAAAATCATCATTTACTGAGAACACCTAAAAAAACATGAAACTTAATTCAGGCAAGCACTCTATCCTTTAGAAGCAAATTTGTCGGAATTGTTTGGAACTTTTATTATTAAAATTATTTTGCCTTTAAATGTAAGAAAAACCTCTGTTTCCCAGAGCCAAAGGTAACATCTACAAATGTCTAGTCCACAGTCCAACACCAAAAGATATTTAATTTACAATGATAATCAAAAAGAGGAAAGCAGAAAATCCTCACATGGGAGGAGCAACCAGGGGGAAAAAATGGCTCAAGAGGTTAATCAATTGGCAAAATAGTTGCTGATTAATTTTCTGTTGCCCGAATCATCGTTAAGTGAAGCTGATGCTGGCACTGGAAGGATGAGAAGTGAACCTAATCAAGGGGATAGTAGAGTGAGACGAGGAGTGTAACAGAGAGAGAGAGAGA